GCGAACACAGTGAGAGGCATAGTCGGGAGACCTCGCCTGAGCCAGTGTGCAGCAGCACCGAGGGTGGGGACAGTGCGAGACTCGGCGCTCCCCCGCGTGGCGAGGGGTTAGGCCACAAAACAGCGCAGCCTGAGAAGGCGGCAGACCACGACGATACAGACTGGCAGCGGGACTTGAATAAGATCGTCGGCGACCCACCCCAGCGCGGTGAGGGGGTAGACCGCAAGGCACCCCTGCGTGGCGAGGGGTTAGGCCACGGAAATCCCTTGCGCGATGAGGGGGCAGGCCGCAGGACCAAAGGCAAGCAGAGGCTTGAGGCGGAAGCCCATGACGTGCCCAATGAGCAAAACGCGGACCTTTTGACCAACAGTGTGGTAGACAGGACCTCGCAACTAACAGAGCGGACCCAAACCCTGGGAAACCGACAGTCTGAACGCGAGGGGGGGGGGCACGGCCCGCGGATACCACGTGAACCGCGAACACAGCGAGTGGCAAAGTTGCGGGACCCCGCCCGAGACAGGGGGCAGCAGCACCGAGGATGGGGACAGTGCAAGACGCGGCGTACCCCCGCGCGGTGAGGGGTTAGACCGCAGCAGGCCCCAGCGTGGCGAGGGGTTAGGCCACGGAGTACCCCAGCGCGGTGAGGGGTTAGACCGCAACGATCCCCAGCGTGGCGAGGGGTTAAGCCACGGAGGACCCCACAGTGGAGAGGGGGCAGACAGCAGCAGGCCCCCGCGTGGCGAGGGGTTAGGCCACAAGGGACCCCAGCGCGGTGAGGGGTTAGACCGCAACAGGCCCCTGCGTGGCGAGGGGTTAGGCCACGAAGCACCCCAGCGCGGTGAGGGGTTAGACCGCAGCAGCCCCCAGCGTGGCGAGGGGTTAGGCCACGACATTCCCCAGCGCGGTGAGGGGTTAGACCGCATGGACCCCCAGTGTGGCGAGGGGTCAAGACACGATGGGCCCCAGCGCGGTGAGGGGTTAGACCGCAACAGACCCCAGCGCGGCGAGGGGTTAGGCCACCACGGAGCACCCCAGCGCGGTGAGGGGTTAGACCGCAACAGGCCCCTGCGTGGCGAGGGGTTAGGCCACGGAGCGCCCCAGCGCGGTGAGGGGTTAGACCGCAGCAGCCCCCAGCGTGGCGAGGGGTTAGGCCACGAGTATCCCCAGCGCGGTGAGGGGTTAGACCGCACCGACCCCCAGCGTGGCGAGGGGTTAGGCCACGGAGGACCCCTGCGCGGCGAGGGGTTAGGCCGCAACGCGCCCCAGCGTGGCGAGGGGTTAGGCCACAGCTCTGCGCCAGGCAGGGCGATCGAGAAGGCCCATGAGTCCAGGGACCAGCAGCCAGGGCGGTCCCTGGAAGAGCGCAGAGCGGAGGAGCGGCTGCGGCCGTCCATCAGGCTGCTCCTCAAGCTCTGAGTGGGCAGCGGCAGCATTTCTTCAGACTGCCGCTGCTCACGGGGCGACTCCATGAGTCACAGAGTGGCGGCAGTAAGACGCCGTGAGATGAGGCCGCTGGCCCACCCCGCCTCGGGCCTTTCGGCCTGCGCGGAGTGACGAGACCAGGGGCACCCACTCGCGGGCGGGAACACGCGGGTTTAAAAACTCCTCCTTCCCCCTCTCCTTTTCGTTTGCCGATCGGCGCGGAGCCTCGCCCGCCCCTCTCCATCCCCCCACATTCCGTCCCCTCCACAGGACGCACAGCTGCAAACCGCCGCGCCGAGCAGAGGTCCGGAGCCAGACCCCTCCCCCCCCCCCGCCCTCCGCCCAATGCCGAACCGCCGAAGAAGAACACGTTCACGCAGGGGTGGACGGGGGGGGGGGCGGGAGGAAGGCCCAGAGGCCAGCGTCGGGGCTGTCGCGCAGCGGGGGTCGGCGCTGAAAGGGGCACAGCCGATCCCCCCTGCTCGGAGGCAACTCCTGGGAGGTCAAATTCTGATTTTGTCCGGGTCCGAAATCCCGCTCGATCCGGCGCAATACCGCTTAATCCAAGGCCCAATCTGGCGCAGCAGCCCCCAATGGGGCTTATTCCGCCTTAATCTTTCCGACGAAAACCTCCCAGTAGTTGCCTCCTAACCCCTGGCCGGCCCGGGTTTGAGAGCAACGTGGGGCCGAGTCCCCCTTTTGCGGTCGGACCGAGCTGTAAGATCGAGGTCGGTTGCCACCCTCCGACACGAGGGTTCCCCTATCGCATAAGATGTCTCTTCCCCCGGCTCGAACGGCCCCACAGAGGGATACCACGGGTAACACGCCCCAACGATGGCATCAAAGCCGTCAAACAATTGCAAACACCTAGAAGCCCCATGAAAAAAAACATTAACAAATTTACCGACAACTACACAGCTCCCGACCCCGCAGCTCCACACTGCAAACGACCACTCGGACAGGCGACCACGGTGCGACAGTATGGGCCGGCGGAATGAGCGAAGCGATTAAATAATTACTTGAAAGAGCTCCACGGATTGAGGGCGGGCAGGTTTCAAAATGTGAGTTTCGCCTTAGCGCCGCACGCATTCGTCTTAAGCAGATGGACGAGCGTCACGGATTGAGGGCGGTTCATGTTTAACATGTGGTTCTCGGTTTAGCGCCTTGCACATTCGTTGTTAACAGTTGAACGAGTTTCATTGACTCATGGTCAACAAAGCAGAAATGGCGGTTTGGAAATATTCAGGATTATGTTGGTGCAACGTTCACATTGGTTCGCAGTGCTGACGTCCCAGGAACGGCGTGCTGGCACGATTCCAGATCGTCAAGACGCAACGGTCAGTTTGATCCATGGCGTTGGAGTCCCGAGAACAGTGTTTTGGCGTGTTTCGGGTTGTTCAAACGGTTGTCTTCCAACGAGGCAGTTCCCTCAGTGAAACTAAACCGTTGTAGGGGTATGCGCAGAGCGTGCTTGGAGGCAGGTTCATTCAAACATCGTTGATGACTCTTGGGTTCCACTGGACCTCATCCTCCTCTCATCCTCCTCATCCTCCTCCTCCCCTCTCACCTCTTCCTCATCCTCCTCTTCCTCGTCGTCCTCATCCTCATCATCATGTTACTATTCCTCTTCCTCCTCCTTCTCCTCGTACTCCTCCTCCTCCTTCTCCTCCTCCTCCTCCTCCTCCTCCTCTTCCTCGTCCTCCTGCTTTTCCTCCTCCTCCTTCTCCTCCTCCTACTCCTCCACCTCCTCATCCCTGCCTCCGCCTCATCCTCCTCCACCTCCTCCTCCTCCTCCTCCTGCTCCTCCTATTCCTACTCCTACTCCTACTCCTACTCCTACTCCCTCTCGTCCTCCTCTTGCTCCCTCTCCTCCTTCTCCTCCTCCTCCTCCTCCTCTGCCTTCTTCACCTCCTCCTCCTCCCATCCTCCTCCTCCTCACACCTCCTCCTCCTCCTCCTCCTCCTCCACCTCCTCATCCCTGCCTCCGCATCCGCCTCGGCCTCCTCCGCCTCCTCCTCATCATCCATCTCCTCCTCCTCCTCCTGCTCCTCCTCCTCCCCCTCCTCCTCCTCTTCCTGTTACTTCTCTCCTCGGTGATGTTCTTGGTTGCTCCTGGGGGATGCACCAGGGCTCGAACTAAACAGTGTTTTGGGCGATGCCGTGGACCTTTTTCCGTTTTTGATCCCGTGTCGCAGCAGAGACAGAGCGAAGACAAGCCGAAGGAGAACGAAAGCGGAATGAGAACGCAAAGCCCGGTGTAGTTCCAGCGGCTGTTTCTGGGGGGCACGCACATTGAAGTTAGAGTTCATGGATTACCGGCGGGTCCCGTTTCCGTCCAAATTCCCAGATTTGTTCGCGTCGTGACAAAATCATGACGGGAGGATTGAGGCCGTTCTCTCGGCTTCGGGGGGTTCTCCTTGGGGCCCGGTACCGTCAGACAGCGGCTCGGGATGCCAAGGCGGCCCCAGGGAAAGAGCCGGGATTTCGGGGACCGCGAACCGAAAACATCAGGCCACTGCACATCTGGGCTCGGCGCGCCTCGTCGCCAGATATGGCCGCACCGGCGCCGTGCGCCGCCTCCCCTCGGCCCGCAATCCATGCCAGCGTGTGCTGGTACGCTGGATTCGCATCTTGTCGGCTGGCGGCGACCCCGCCGCCGGCGTTCAACGCTGCACGCCGCCCGTGGCTCAGAACCGTCCCTCCGCTGAGCCAGCTGTCGTCTCGGAAAAACGCCCGCTCTCGTTCCAGGTCGAAGGATACCCGCGGTGTCGGGAACCAGCGCCGCAGTCGGCAGCTGACACGACGCGAACCTGCCATGCACGACATCCTCTTCGACGTGCCTTTGGCTCTTGGCGCCCCCAGTGCACATTTCCCCCCCGCCGTCCCGCCACGCTGCGGCCGCCGCGACGCCTGGGCGCCCGAAGGCTGCCTTCTCCTCCCTCTCCTTCTCCTCGTCTTTCAGGAGGGAAAGGCACACACACAGACACGAATCAGCGTCGACTCCCAGAAAAATATAAAAATATTGGAAGTACAGGGGGGGTGAAACTCCAGAGAATATGGAATAACATGTCACCGGCTAACGTAGGTCACGGTAATGAATAAACGCACATTCTTAAAACAAATGATTGGAACGGCGATGATCTATGAAAGCGAGAAACGGATTTATTAGATTGCGCCGCCTAATCAAACCAAGACAGCACATCATTTAGTAAACACAGAAACCGGTTTTATTACATTCAGAAACGGAGTTTCAAAATCGGGGGCCATGTTTCTTACCATGACTTGAGTTGCTCGATCAACATGGGAAATCCTGGGATTTGTGTCTACATCTTTGCGTGTTGCTGGGCCACTTCAGTCCCCCTTCCTCCCTTGACTCCTCCCCCCTCCCCCATCCCTCCCTCCTCCCTCGTGCTTCGGTTCCTCGCCCCTCCCCCTTCCCCCCTCCTCCTGCCCCCCTCCCTGATCCCTCCCTGCCTCCCCCCTCATCCCCTCCCCTCCCCCCCCCTTCCCCTCCATCCCCCCCCTCCCCCCCCCCCACCCTCCTTCCCCCTCCTCCCCAACCCCCCCTCCCTCGAGAGGATCGTCGACGCCATCGAGGCGGAGTTCCGCGCCGAGATCCAGCACGAGGAGGCCCTGGTCTCCCGCGCGAGGCACGAGCAGCGCACGGCGGAGCGCCTCAGGCGCCCCCCCCCCCCCGGCGCGCGGGCCCCGCTCCAGCCCCGGGAGCCTTGGGACGGGGGTCAGTGCAAACGGGGGTCAGCCAGGGCGCCAGACCCTGCAGGATCCTGCGAAGACCCCCTCTGGCTGACCCGGGTTCGCGAGCCGCTCGTGGCCGCGAGGCGGCCGCGCTTATTGGTTGACCCGGGCTTGCGAAGACCTGCATCGCAGTTTTTGCTTCCCTGCATTACAGTTGTTTGGTTTCCTGCTGACCCGGGTCTGGATTGACCCGAATCAGAAGATCCCCGACAGCCCCAGCGGCGCAACGGGTGCTCACTGATGGGTATTTTGGAGACTCGCCGAAAGTTGCCACTCTAGGGCCTACTTCTGGCACTGCGGCGTTGCCCAAGGCGGGGGGGGGGCTTCGCCGTTGGTGTTAAGTAGGGCACGTCCCCCTGCAGGAGGAATACTCAAAAATAGTATTTCAAAATCAGGGGACGATTGTTCTACTATTTTGAATGTGTTTGACTATCTTTATTTTCCTTCGAAATTCCGCCTGTAGGAGAACATTCCCGACCCAACGTTAGTGGAGTCCCCGTTAGAGGGGCGCTGACGGCCCCGAGAGGTGCCGAAGCGGCCCCTGCGCGCGCGTGCTCGGGGCGGCGGCGGCGATGGCGCCCACGGCGGTCACAACGAAGACGACGCCGACGGCGCCGACGACGACGACGAAGAAGAAGACGACAAAGACGACGAAGGCGAAGACGACGACGATGACGACGACGACGACGACGACGATTTCAGAGGAGGGGAGGAAACCGATGCCGCTACACATCCCTCGTCGCCACGGTTGGGCTCGCCTCGGAAGCTTGGTCAGAAAGCACCCCAGGGAGAGGTCCAGGGAGTAGCGTTAAGTCGGGCATGTCCCTCTACAGGAGGAATATTCAAAGATAGTTGAAACATTGTCTGGGGACGATGTTCCGATTATTTGTTGAGTATGTTAAAACATTGTTTGAGTGTTTTTACTGTTTCGTCCAAGATCCGCCTGTAGGGGGACATGCCCGATTTAAGAGTAGCGGTATCGGTGTCTTCTTGTTGCGGCGCGACGACCTTCCCCACGGCCAGGGCGGCAGCAGCGGGCCCGGATCGCACGGGCGCCTCGCGCGGATGCGTGCGCGAGCAGGCGAGCGTGCCTCCCTCTTCCCCGTTGCTCTCGTCTGCGGCGAGCCCCACAGATGATGGCTTGTTTTCCACCACCACCACCAAAAGTTGGAGGGGGAAGGAGGTGGAGAATGAGGAGGAGGAGGAAGAAGAAGAAGAAGAGGGGGAGGAGTACTCCCTTCCCCCTCCAACTTGTGGTTTTGGTGGTGGTGGAAAACAGGCCCACCAACAGAGGAGGGCACTGCCCGCGGTGGACTCGCAAGTGCCACGCCGCCCACGAGCCCCGAGGTCGCTCCGACCGGCCCCCGGGCTGGCCGCCCAGGTCGGGGGCAACGACAGGGGGAGATAGGCGCAGTGGGGATGCACCGACCCCGGTCGCCCACTCGTCGCCGACGGGGGCCCAACAGCCCCAACCTGCCCACGAATTTGCGGACTCAGGATCAGCGGCTCATCGCCGATCCATCGGCGACGTATCACCGATGCCAGGTCGATGTGCCCCCTCCCTGTGCCAGTCCCCCCCCCCTATCGTTGCCCTTGGCCACGGAGACCAGCCGTGCGGCGGTGCAGCAGGCTGTCCGGTTTCCGGTCGAGGCGGGCCTCGACGGTGCGACCACTTCGTCACCCTCCAGGGTTCGGAGATGGTCGCGCGTCGCGGCCGGGGCCGGGGAGCTGCCTTTCTCCAGGGCGGCGTCGGGAGGGCACGAAGTTGGATGCCCCAGGGAGGAGGAGGAGGAGGAGGAGGAGGAGGAGGAGGAGGAGGAGGAGGTGGAGATGAGGAGGAGAGAGGGAGGAGGAGGAGGAGGGAGAGGAGGAGGAGGAGGAGGAGGGAGGAAGGAGGAGGGAGGCAGGAGGAGGAGGAGGAGGAGGAGGAGGAGGAGGAGGAGGGGAGAGGAGGAGGAGGAGGAGGAGGAGAGGAGGAGGAGAGGGAGGAGGAGAGGGGAGGAGGAGAGGGAGGAAAGAGGAGGGGAGGATGAGGAGGAGGAGGAGGAGGAGGAGGAGGAGGAGGAGGAGGAGGAGGAGATTTCCCGCGAGCACAGCGTGGGCGAGCACCTCGCGTCCACCTGCGTCAGGCCAGGTTAGTCCTCCGCGCCGCCAGAGGCGGCGGAGGAAATTTGTGCCTCCACACCACTTCCCGCGGCGGAGGCCCTGGCAGCAATCCCAATCGACTCCAGAAACTCCAATTCCTGGGTTCTGGACAGCGCGACCACCCCTCCAGGCAGTCTGTCATTCTTATAAGGATGCTTACCTGCCAGCAAACGATTACGTCGAGTCTTGGCGTTGTGGTCCCTCGGGTCCTTAGGACAACCTGTAAGTAACCCACAAGCCCTGGCGCTCAAAAAGGCGCCGCACTCTCGACAGAAGGTGTAGTGGCCAATTCGAGACAGCTTGTGTCGCCTTGGCCCCTCCAAAGGAGCCCCGTCGACACGCGCTATCATCTTCCACTTGGCGTGCGAGGAGAAACCCTTCCTGCAAAACTTACGCGACAGCACCAGCTTGGCCTTATAGCTGTGGGCCCGTCTGGCACAACAAGCACACCTCCAGGACCCCCTGTCCCACTCCAGGACGTGCCGAGACTCGGGAGGAGGTAAAACCGATCGGCGCGGCCGAGGGCCAGGGGGCTGGGAGGCGTTCTGGAGACGGCCTGTGGTGCCATCCAATGTGCCTATCTTACAGGTCATATCTCCGACAAGCCCGAGGACAGCACAAACCTCCTTAATTCTGGCCACCCACGTGTCTCTGATATGAGGCGGGATGGCGTCTAGCTTGGCGCCCTCCTTCGCTTGAAGGTCGGCGCACTGATTCCCTAGGTAGTTGCACAGCTCGAGTCCCTCGAGCTGCTGGGCCTGGGCCTTCTTGGAATGCGCTTTGACTTTGACGACGACGAGGTCCCCCTCACCGACGAACGAATCTTCAATCGCATTCCAAATCATATGCCATAAATCGGCATGCGGTCGTCTGGCTTGGCGGCACCAAACTGGGCCTCGCCTGAAGCCCCGAACGACGGTAGAATTGTCGATCCCCACCTGTAGAGGGGCAGCGCCGTGCCGCAGAACATTCAGGAAACCGTATAATTTTGCTCTAAGCACACTTTGTGCCTCCCTAGCTCCTGGAACCGTGCCATGCATTGCTTTGCGTATATTTCCATGCTGGTCGACAAAACAGAGGCCCCATCCGAACGCCTTCAACCCAGAAGCCCCGACCCCCGACCCATCCGAGTAGGCCAGTCCTGAGAGAAGGGGATCGTCCCCGTACTCTGGGTCCAGGGTCTCCATGCTGGGCGTGACGTCCAGGAAGGGATCCCCCAGTGGGTGAGGCACGAGAGCCCTGGAAAAGAGACGGGAAGAGGAGCACGAGGAGGAGGCGCGGTGGATGATATCAGGATAGGATTCACCTGCAGCCTGGCGCTGCTCCTGAAACGCTGGGCACCCATGGGAGCCCCAAATGTCAAACCACTCTTGCGCGGCCCTGTCGGCCGCTTCCTGAGGATCAGCAAGCTCGAGGTTGGAGACAGAGTAACCCGTAACGGGGGGAGGAGGAGTACGCCACTTGCTGATCCTGTGGATGAAAGAAGAGCCTGCAGTCGACTCCTTCTTCAAACGTTCTCGCCATTCTTTTGACCGTGCGGCTGCCTGCTGCCGTTCGATGGTCTGAGCATTGGCTACTGCACGACGCTGGAGACCCATGATCTCTGGGGCCTGCTCCATGAGCGCTGGGCCCTCAAGACAAAAGGCGCGGTATCGTTCAAACTGGGCGATTACGTGCTCAGCCTCCCCCCCCAGGTCATGAACCAGCCGACTCTTTCCTCCTCCGATGCGGCGCTCGTGCTTTGCTCGTCGCGCACGTGCATGCATCCAGGTGCCCTCCTGCTGGGCAGCTGGTGCGAGGAAAATGAAATCACTGGCTCGTGCGGCTACCCACCGCCATGCTTCAGCACAGTGTGAGACCTGCTTCCAGAGCTGATCAAGCTGGGTGCCATTTAAATCGTCCTGATGATCGAAGTCTGGCCACTGTGCAGGCTGCGGGACTGGTCCGCACGGCCTCTCCATTGGGAAAGGTCTGGGCTTGGCAAGCATCCAGCCGCCTTTTGCTCGCATCCTGGATTGCATGACTAGACGGATTGGCGAGTGAGGCGCGGCTGCATTGTCTAACACTTCTACCGTGTCACCGAACGCATGCTGGATGCGGGCGTCGAGCACAAAGAAATCGATGATATTGCCACCGCCGACTCCTGCACACGTGGCAGTGGAGGGGAGACGCACCACTCCTCCCACATCTTGGCACCAGCCCGTCTTGAGCCGAGACTCCCCCGTCTCGTTGAAATCTGCTTGGAATATCCACGGTATGTCATACTGCTTGATGACCGTAGCGATGGCCTCCAGAATTGACAAATTTTGAATCGCCCAACCTTCACGTGTCCAAAAATATGCCGTGATAATCATGAGGCCACCCTTCTGTCCAGCAGAGCACCAGCCCACTGCCACGCGCCCAGCCGAGCCAGGAGGTGAGATATCAAACGTATTCATGCCTTCGAGGTACGTAAGACCAACATTCCTTGGCACAAGAAATCCAACTCCACTAGACGGTCGTCCGCCTGGGCCGCTGACGGCTGGAACCAATGCTGCTGTATAGTGCCTGTTGAAGCTGGCCGCCTCTATGTCCTTGGCGATGGGCGCACTCAACTTATGCCCCTGAAGGAACGTGATGTGCATGGGGCCCACGATCTTCCTTGTGGCGACCTCATGCAGCACGTCGATAGCCTGCGCCCAAGAAGAACAGTTGACGCCTATGAACTCGAGCCCCACATTGCGAGCGCCGCCCTTGCCTCGACGACGCGGGGGGCTCATCTTCGGTGAACTTGACCATGTAGAGAGAGATGTACTGGATGTTGCGTCAGGAGGAGACCCTCTGCCGTGATCTGACTCCTGCGACGTGCTAGACTCTTGCCATGCGCCCGACCATGTAGAGCATTGAGTACTGGTACCTGTGGCCGTGGAGGCCGAGCTGCCGAGCCCGCGCGGGCTAAAGCGGCACTGGCTTGGCCACTGCCTCCGCCCTGCGAGCCCTGGCGCGCTGCAAGGCCTCCGCCAGCTCCTTGCCAGCGGCTTCGCGACCAGCGTCAGGGCCAACATCAGCGCTGGCAGCGCCTGGCGAAGCGCCCTGGGCACCCTGCGCCTCCGTTGCGGGCTGGGCGGCCTGCTGGGCCTCCTGGGAGGACTGGGCTGGCGCCTGCGGCGGGCCCCCCTCGGGGCTCTGGGCCGCTGGCGCCTCCGCAGCCGCCGCCTCCGCAGGAGGGTCCTCGCGCTTGGCCTGGGCAGGCGCCTGCGACGGGCTCCCCTCGGGGGTCTGGGGCGCGGGCGCCTCTGCAGCCGCCGCCGCCGCAGGGGGGTCCTCACGCCTGCGCTTCTTGAAGGTCTCGCGGAGCACCCTGATCTCTTCAAGCTGCTCGCGCTGGGACTTGAGGACGTCGGCCCCTGGCCCGGAGTGCGTGCGGACCGCCTGCTGCACCGACGCCTCGAAGGTCTGCTTGAGCTTGTTGAACTGCTCCCGCTGCTCGGCCGCGATGTCCAACCCCTCAAGGTCGAAGAGGGGGCCGTCCTCGATGACGAAGCTGGCCTCGCCTTCGCCCAGCAGGGCAGAGAGGTTGATGACCCCGCCGCCCTTGTTGGCCCCCTCGGGCTGGGAGTCCTTGCCTGGAGCCGCCAAAGCCTTCTTCTCCTGAGCCAGCTTGACCTCCGCACCCACCAGGGCGTCAGCTGCGGCATCGGAGCGAGCCTGGCACTCGTCGAGCCAGAGCTTGGCGTCGGCCAGCTGCTTGGCACGCTTTTCCAGCTCCCGACGCGCAGCCCTCTCCGCTGCGGCCGCCCGCTGGATGCCCTCCTCCAGGAGCGCGGGGCGCTCTGCAGGTGCCGGCGGGGCAAAGGCGCTCTCGAGCTGCTGGAGCGCCTGCCGCTGGGCCTCGGAGAGGGCCTGCCCACCAAGGGTCTGCACCACCTCGCCGATCGCGAGCGGCTCGGTCCTCTGCGTGGTCTCCTCGGCTTCGTGGTACCAGTCGGTCTGACCCTTGTGGTTGTCCTGCCACCAGCCTCTGCTGCCGCTAGCCCAGACGCCACGGGGCTTTGGAGCGGGAGAGTACGATGGTCGCAGGGCCTGCCCACAGCTGTAGCACGACTGCTTGCTCTTGTAGGTCCAACGGTAGCCACATTTCTTGCATCCCACGTAGTCGGACGAGAAGGAGACCCTTGGAGCTGGGGACTTGCCGCCTCCACGCCTGCGATCCGACATGGCGGCGGGATGGACTGGGACTCTGGACGGCAGCGCGCAGCTCCCCGTACAGGTCTCGAGAGAAGATGTCGGGCTGAACAGCCCTGGCACTGCCGCGGACTAGCGGTATCCACTTGTTCCCCTGAGGAACTCATCATCTTGAGCCAAAACGCTACGGGGAGGAGGAGGAGGGGAGGAGGAGGAGAGGGAGGAGGAGGAGGAGAGGGAGGAAGAGGAGG